TTTTACATAAAACGCTACAAAAACTAAAGGATGTTGAAGCAAGGAAAGCTTCTTTTCTTAAAGAAAAAGTAAGAAGGCAAATTTTGTAATCAGCCATCTAAATAGTAATATCCCTATAGCGATTTTCTTTAAGGGATTAACAGTAATACTGCAGTAAAAAATTATAATATTATCAATAAGTAATACGGGTAAGGTAAAGTGAGACAGCATAAGTCCTATGTCTGTTTCTTTGAAGATAGGTAAAGTTCTGAATATTTAGAGATCTTTGGTCTATATCAGATATATAGTAGATATGTATATAGAATCAATTAACATATACACATGCAAACGTTGTCGGTACTGTTAGATGAGAGTATGTTCAAAAATGTTCATATGCTATCTATAAACGCGACTCTGAAAGAATACGAACTCTATGGGTTATATCCTGCAGATTAGGGCTATTAATTCTAGTATGATTGGAACAAGGTTGATTATGGTTAGAACAAAGTTTTGTCACTAGTATAACCTGCTTGTCAATAAAATTGTCGCGTATGAAGATTGCTTTTCTTATCAATGTCAGATATGTTCAAACAATAGGTGATCTAAAGGAATTGGCACTTGGCGAAATATTATCATAATCTTTTTTACCAGAATATATAAAGATTCAGACTTAAGACCCTATTGGTTTGGTGTTATAGTTTGTGAAGTGTCGGTTTCACAATGGTAATCATTGGTTGTCCGTCGCAGCATTCTAGGGACCGAGAAAAGTTCCGATGAAATATTAAAATAAGTAGGAAAGTATAGTAGAGCGTGGCCGACCATAGGATACCCTATACTAGTTATGAGTATTAAGTGTGATTTATTTTCCATAATAAAGTATTTATCTTCAATATCATCTTGTTTCTGATACAGTTAAACAGTTTATGGACCAAAAACTAATTTTCTGAAAGAGAGTTTATATGGCGGCTAGGGGCAAATATGTACCGATCTTTACGAAATTTGGCAAGGTCATCAAGGCTTGTATAAAACTTATTTGTGCTGCTTTTTATCGAGATGCAGTTATATTTAACATAATTATGGTCTCAAAGTCCCTTTTCGGGGTGTTCTGTTGTATGAGTGCTAGGTCAAATAATGGTCCGATTTTAACCACTTTCAATAGACTTCGTCCCTGGGCCAAAAAAGGCACGTCTACAAAATTCCAATGCAATTATCTGAAAAATTGCGATCTGTACCTTGCGCACAAGGTTTACATGGACAGCCAGCTAGACAGACGGACGGACATAGCTTAATCGACTCAGAAAATGATTCTAAGACGATCCCCACTAAATGGGTATAAAAAACATATTTTTTATACCCATTTCTTTAAAGCTGTTTTCACACAACACCAATATATAATCCCAAATTATATGAGAATTATAAAGTCTGACAACGAAACGAAACTGCCAAACCTGTATACCAGGGAGAATTTTACAACACAACGGCCTCATTAAGATTTGCATGGTTCATTTCATCCAGAAAAAGTGCAAACTATAATTTATGCAAAACAATCTATTGGATCGTAGCACCTATTTGATAGCCATTCAGCTAACATCCCAAACTAGATTTGGATCCACGATATTTTCTAAATATCTCAAGCGGTACGTGAAGCATAATACGGTGGGAACCGCTGCTCTATGTTGTCGCAAAAACGTAATGCTGAGAGTTGAAAATTTTCTTTAGTCTAAAGATATAGTCTAAAAAATTACTTTAAGAAGACCGATTCGTTTTACTTGTCAAATATAAGTCAAGAAGATTTGTCCATATTTTATAAGATAAAATGACTGGCTTATTTTGTCTTACTATTACGACTCTAAGAGCTCAAAACTTCAGAATTATAAAAACGTTCCTAACTCTGGCATTTGTTTTAAATCAGAACATAGAAAATGGAATATGTATATTGATCCTGATACTATTCTACAGAAAGTAGACAGGACAATTTGGGAACGCAGACTACATGCACCATTCTTTAAGCAGATTTTCCAAATCATAATACTAAACTCAGTTACTCACTTCATTTCCTATCACGGATTACACTTTGTTGACTTGATGTGCATTCTAGGGTATGAGGGTATTCGGGAAAATAAGTTACAAACAAGTTAGAGTGCTATATTCGGCTATGCCGAATCTTAAATACCCTCCACCAGCAAGCTACTTTTTATTGAACCCCATTTAACTATCTAATTTTTAGATAACTTGGCAAAATTTCCGGAAAAAATTTCGTAGAGATATTTATATTTAGACTAAACATATTTGTGTCGAATTTCATCAAGATAGCTTTATATGACAATGAAATATGAGCTTTTAAATGATTTTCGGAAGTGGTCCTTATATGGGAGCTATGACCAATAATGGACCGATCCGTAAAAAATTTATTAGAAGGATTTGTATGTACATAAAACATATTTAACTCGAATTTTATCACAATAGCTTTATTCATCAATGAAATATATGCGTTTAGGTGATTTTCGGAAGTGGACCTTGTATGGGAGCTATGGCCAATTGTGGACCGACTGAGATCTACGTTGACAGTATGATTTCTGTTCATATTATATTTTGTTTGTGTTGATACCGATATATTTGAGGGAGTTTTTAACGATAAATTAATTTCCGGGAATATATACATTTGTATGGGGGCTATGGGAAATATTGGATCGATTCTAAAGATTTTCAACATAATTGATCACTGTCATGAAAAAAAAAGTGTGTGACAAAATTCATCGAAATATCTTTGGTAGTTTCTGAGAAAACTTCAAAAGAATTATGAAAAAAACGTAATTTTTTTCGAGGTAGTCTGAAATTTTTACTCATAACTTTTAACGTTGTGAACCGATTTTGCTTATTTTCAATACCAAACTGCTTAGGATAATAATAAATATTTTGGGTGAATTTGGTTGATTTCCTTTGCTTAGTTTTAACGTGAGCGTGTTTTACACAGACAGACAGACAGACATAGCTAAATCGACTCAGAATTTCATAAGGACCCAGAATATATATACTTTGTTGGGTCTTAGATGAATATTTCTTGGTGTTACACACGGAATGACAAACTTATATATATCCTCTATCACCACTGATGGTGGTGGAGGGTATAAAAAGTTTTGATAAAAATATTGTTATTCCTCTGGTTGTAGAATCGATATTTCAACAGATGAACGACAGAAGAAACCGAAGTCAGAAAATTTACTATTGCCACTTGTATAATAGAGAAGATGGACTGTCCCGGTCTTGAAATAGTACGTCTGTCTTTTACAGAAAAGGGCCTTGACATTCTTAGCCCTTGAAAGGAATTCATCAAGACTTTTTATGGAAATATGAAATGTAACCTCCCTATATGAAAGCTCAGTCTAAGATATCTGGGAAAAAGACCAGTTCTTGTTTAGGACCATCGTATAAGTTAGATGTAATTGTCGACCACATGATTTAAAAGATAGCTCAAATTAAAGGGGCAACTTTTAAGAGGAATCACAAGTGGCCACCCAGTGTTCTCGTTAAATTGCAGCGACGGCCTAACTTTGGTACCACATATAGGTTGATAAACGTGATACTTATTAGATACATTTGACTTAGTTCAGATTATTAAGGGAAAACTTTTAATAACTTAAACATTTTAAAACTCTAAATTCCCTAATAAACACAATTTTGAAGAATGAAAAGTTGTCTTACAAATACAAAGTTGGCAACACTCTTTAACTATGCAATTTCTTGTTATTCGACTCGTTTAAGCATTAAACATTTTACGTTTAATTTAAGAATTGTATAAAAAAATATATGTATATAAAAATAATGAACAAAACAAAAACTGCACGAATGAAGAAACTTTGAATGTCAAGCAGGACAAATGTAGACGATATGCATCAATTTATTTTTATTTTATTCCCTTATCGCTCTGCAGTACTTTTTTTTTCAACTTTACTCCCACCGACTATGCAAAAAGTTCGCCTTTCTTTTTATTTTCTTATTCATAATAAAATGTATAAAATCGTCCATCTTGTTTGAATTTTTAACGCATTCCCCATGATAGTTTTCATACGATTTCTCATTACCATTTTTACTCTCAGTGATGAAAATTAATTCAGATTTTCATAAAATTGTGCAATAAAAATTACAATTAACACGTTACGCTCCGTTTGACATTTGAATTAATTGAAAATATTGTAAATACACAAAACAAGAGCGGTAGAAAAAGTGTTAAGGAGCGACTGACTGACGAATGAATGAATGAATGAATGAATGAAGGGATAAATGGCCGGATGATGGAAACAAGAATGAGAATGAAAAAAACAAGGATGACAGGATATACATATTTGTTTGTATGAGTGCATTAAACGGTGTATGTAGTTTTTCGTTTATTTCAATAAGTCACCCTACATCTATCAATTCGATATTAAGTGATTTGCTATTAAAGTCGTTCTCGAACAAAGTTTGAAACATTCATTCCTAAATGTTTTATTTTAAAAGTTTGAGAACATTTGATCATTGTCTGAGTTTTAATATATTTTCGATATGTTTTTTCATTTATATTGTAGTTCTAATTTGATTCGTTAGTTATCCTCCATTAGTAGATTTTTATTTCAATATTTTGTATTTATTTGACTGAGAAATGACTTTAATTTATAGTGCAGTTATTATTAAGAACTATAAAAAAGAAGGAGCAAGAAAAACTGCATCACAAGAAAATCATTAAAAATTTCTAGACGAAAAGATTTTTATATCATTAATATACCGTGACTCCTGAGTAGAGCTGATGCAATTTGGCTTTTTTTATATGATATTTTTAATTAATATTTAAATTTATCTTGTTTTAAATCCAGCTAAACAAGATATTAAATGAATAGCATATTAAATATATTGTTTGTTAAAATTTAACTCAGATATCAAATAAACATTTTAAAATTATATAGAAATCGGCCAAGGCGCCCAGACCAGTATAATAATATGAATGATTTCAAAGTAAATTTTATTTGCCGATTCCATTTCAAAACTTACCTCCATGTTAAATCAGTTTTCTCCCATTTGGGTCCCTGTAGAACATAACGTTTCATACGACCATGATGCAAATTATCGGGTGAGAATGATAATGAATGATTATTATCGCCGACACCGCAACGTGGTCGTTTAATAAGTTTTTTCGTTTCACTATCGATTTCGCCAGTCACTGGAATATTGCCAAAGCTCTGTAAAAGATTAAAAGCACATAAAATTAAATATAAGATATAATGATATACATACATTCTAAATACACTGAAACTCGGTTATAACGAACTACATAAGATTAAGAAAGATTTTTTCAAAGTTTTATTCAGACAAAATTTATCATTTGAAATCGTCAATCAGGTACAATAACGCGACCAACTGATTATGACTGTAATTTTATGAAACAGTTTTGACCAAGAATGTTACAACAAACTTTACCGTTTACTTTACTTCTGACTTAACCGACAATTTAATTCCTCCGATTGCCAATATCGACCCCTCGGGGCATGTTACCTTGATGAAAGATCCCATCTTGCAATTCTGAGAAAAAGAGGTGCTATTAATACCTCTAATCTGCCGGGACTATAAACATGTGATGATCTAATGTATCCTCGTGATTTGACATGGGGTCGAACCAAATAACCACATAATCTGTTGCCATGGAAAACGAAAGCCCACAGGGCAGAGTTTGTGACTTTGTTCTGTTCTGGTTATTGGATAGGTCTCTTCGGGGTGCACGTGGTGGCTATGATTCGCATTGGAAATGAGTTGGTGTAAGATACGTGATGAATGTAGGGGTATGCGGAACTTACCCACCCGTATACCTAGAGTGAGTGTGTCGGATGAATGAGAAGTGTGCAGAGTCGAAAGTTAAGTATGAAAGCTATCTTATACAAGTGATACCATTGAATTTTCCTTCCTTGTCCAGGTATATTTAGGTTTTACTCTGTTCATACCAGATTTGTGAGTCCTCGGCTTATTTGATGGATTCGTATTTCGGTCTTTCGAATACGTATATAAGTGCTGTTGCCGACTCAACAGAGGCCATCCCATCTGCGTGGTTGTAAAAGGAAGTGATGTTTTTTCATCTCGGAAGTTAAGCAACGGGGCAGCAATGGTAAGAGTTGAGATAACTGAGTACTTGATCAAAGTGCTTGTACATGGACCAGCAGAACCATTTACAAAAATTTCAACCGTCGTGTCTAGTCAACTCACCCTGTGGTTGAAAAAGTACCACCAAGAAATAAGGCTAACACGGCAAGTGTTCACGCTAAGGACTTCAATATCAATTTCCCCTTGAGCATGTTGCCGTGGTACCAGTACCTCTAGCCCACAAGAACTATAAACTGGAAAAATCATTTTATTCGATAATATATGACAGATAATATATCCTACTTTGTACCACGGAAATCGGTGGCTGGTACGGACTTTATCTAGTGCTAGTTATTAGAGAGAACCACTCGGTGTTTACGTGGTAGTTGTAGTTGAAATCCAAATCGCGGAAAGGGAATGTTGGTTTAAAATGAAATTAGTATTTCCCTCAAAAGAGTGACTGTGGGACTAAACGAAATAATTAGAAGAGAGCATTCTGATCTTACCCCACCAAAATACACAAGTGCATGTTTCGGGTTTCTCTATGAACGTGTCGGGCAATAGAGTTGTATAATGGCTTGAATAATGATGGATATAGGGTATTCTATTGATGGCTTATCGCCAAAATTTACCTTCTTTGTATAAGTATTTTTAAGGTTTACGATCATAAAGGACTTACCGAAGCGCTTTTCTTGTCAGTAAGAAACTAGATCATGGCTTTTTGATAAGATCATACTTCGGTTCACCAAATAACTCTCTAGGTGTTACTTATTGCCGAAACCATTACCCAGCAAAAAAAGTGTGGAAAAAGATGTCGAATTTTCATCACAACTAGTAACCCGAAGTGCTTCAAATTCGGGTGTAAAACCTATGAATTTTACATTAGCGTGTCATTGGAGGGATGTTGTTCATTTTTGGCAGCTTTGAACTACATCTGATCTTATTTTTCTCTTAATGACACGCTTATGTAAATTTCACTACTCTTTCACCAAATCTTGATGTACTTCAAATATGTTATTTGTAATGACTTTTCCACATCTCTTTCCTAACTTTTAACTGGGGTTTCATTTGTAAGAAAATATTTGGTTTATAAAAGTGAAAAATATGTAATCGCATTTTAAGATGTGATTAAGATGTAGTTTGTAAAGTATGACATCAATTATTTTTTGCTGGGTAGTTTTTTATGGATTATCATCGAGGAATGCTTAAGATATGATCTGAAAATTGCCGAATTGCCGATCTAATTACCCTGGGCTCGAAAAATGTGAATCACTCGGACTTATTCTGCACATATTAACTTAAAAATTGTATTCTGAGTTCGAAATCAAAATGTAAGACAATCAAATTTAATTTGCAGATTCTTCTCGAGGCTGTTTCAATTTTCAACCTTGATTTTCGCTTGAAATCTGTCTGTTTACCTTTCATCACGATAAAGCTTCCATTTGTAAATGTATCCTACTATTGGAATTCAATGGCCGATATAATACAATTGTTAATGAAGGAGACTCCTAAAATTATCTCCAAGCTCATAATGCTAAGCTTATAGCACGGGGCCAAATAGCAACACTAGATATTTATCAACAAGGAATTTGACTTCTCTTGAATATTCTAAAGTTACACCTTACAATCATTTAAATTATGGGAATACCAAGGTATTCCCTTAAAAGTTCTAAAATTATACCGCACATTCATTTAAATTCTGTGAATTCTATAACTTATAGTAAAAAGTGTTTATTCCGTTACGAACATTACCGATCATCAGGCTTTGTAGTTTGTATACAAAAGTATTTTGATTCCCGCTATCATTTAACCGACAGAATCTCGTTCCTAAGGTTGTATTTCAAGAATAAGCATCGCACGCCGTACTTAGTTGTTCTATGATTATACCACACTGTTATTGAAATTCTGGGATTAAAAATGTTCTGATAAAAAGTACTTATTAGGCCCATTATTATCTTCGTCCACTTTTATTGTTCTAACGCAAACTGAAGTGGTTGACACTGAACATTTTCTGTTCAGTCCCAGAAGGCAATGTACTTCTTATTCAAGAAAATTTTCTTTTATCAATAAGTGCAGACGTGGAATCAGCTACTGGTATTCTATAAGCCTATTGAGCATCTTTGATGAAACCGATTTGGTGAATCTTGAGGTTGATTTTGTATGGCGTTCATTATAACCGCGTTTCACTGTATCTCCTTTTGTATGTATATTACTTTTTAAACAAATTTTTTGCTTACCTGAAGATTTCGTATGGCCTCTTTAAGTTGTTCTTCCGTTCTTAAAGCTCCCGTTTCGATGTCTGATTTCGGTAGATAATCAAACTCCATCAAGTAATTGTACTGCAAAGAAAAAAAAGGAAAAGCAAAAAAAGAAATTGTAATATTAGTGAATTTTCTTTTTCACCCACTATTTGGGTTATTTTAATAAAACTACAAACATTTTAGGTTATTAGCATTTTGCGAAGAAAAAATTTGAATATGGGTATTAAGCCAAAACAGAACTAGTAACAGAATCTGAACAAGTACAAGATGTAGGAAATCAAATGTTAAAGAGAAGAGAGTTAGCGGAGGTGGCAGGCTGTTATAGTAAAAAAGAGAAAAGACTAATGCATATTTATGGCATTGTTGCTGGCCATGATTGTTTTTTTGTTTAGTCGTATTTACAGAGGGACGAAACTGTTGTTTACCAAAGACAACAACAACATCAACTTCTAAACAAACAATAGTTTAAATGTTTTACGGAAAACTCTTAGCAACACCCTCATGTTGTTATTTAGTTTTTGCTATTTGCTGTTGCTGCTGCTGCTGTTGTGTTTGCCAAATTATCCATGTACTACGAACAACTAAATAACCATTTTTAGTATCTAGAATCTGTTGCCAGCGATTTTTTTCCAAGAGTGTGTATGTTGTAAGTAGTTTGTGGCCAATCTATAATGTATTTCCTCTTTTTTTGTATGTATGTAGTTGTTGTTGTATTTTTAATACCTAAATCTATGACATGATTTTTAAAGTTAAGAAAAGCATTATTCCAACCACACAAAACCCCACTATCAGAATTTGTTCTTCATCTGTTTCGTTTTGTTACAGATTATGCATTTAAATGTATTTTACATTTTCATATTTACTTATCCCGATTACCCACACATCTACACACAGATCCACATACATACATATGTACATATACCCAGCGAGTAATTTCTATATAAAAAACTCTCATGCAAATTTTGACAACGTATTATGAAAGCCATCTACCTTCGGAAAAAAAATTACCCATGGATTAGTTACAGTCTTCTTCCTGATATCTAGAAGATAAAATGACATTTTTGTAATATCTCTAACCTTTCCAACTATCACCGGAAACAATTGAAAATATTGTTACATTTCCAATCATCGCCTTGATGTTTCTAACACGTGACATAGGCAAAGATCCGCAACTACTTAGTCATTGAAATGTTTGAGGAGATACACATACATTAAACATTTTTGTTATATATTTAATTTTTTTGTTGTAGCTATTTCAACGTTTATGGAGAATTTGTTAAGATAACAATACTTTAAAATAAAGAGGCAGATTAACAAAAGAATGAAACATTATTTGGCAGCCACTTCAAAAGATACATTAGCTTAACAGAAGTTTTGTAGTTTGGTTTTATTTTTATTGGTCGTTGCATGGCATACATTTGGGGTTTATAAAATTTTGTTGTAGTTTTTTTTTTTTTTGTTAGAAATTAAGTCATAATAATATATAAATGGACTATTACGATTTGTACTACAATCTTCAAAATTATAATTATCTATTAAAGGAAAAAAGGACAACAAAATTGTTTATGTTAATGACAATATACATATTTTACTATTTTACTTGGCTTCACTATTTAGTTAGAAATTTCAAAATTTCAGTACTTTAAGACCCTTTCTTACTTTATATGGATTCTAGATTAATTAAAAGAAAAATGTCTTAAAACAAGCACGTACTCAGATCACTTTGAACCCAAATAGGCTTAAATCAAAACCTTCGTACTTGGCTGATTGCTGCTTGATTAACTATATTATACAAGATTCAAGTCAAACCGTTCTTACCATACTATTGAAACCAAATATTTTCCTTCAAACTACTGCTGTTTCATTAAAAAAAGTCTAGTCTATAGTCTAGTGTATAGTCTAGTCTATAGTCTAGTGTATAGTCTAGTCTATAGTCTAGTGTATAGTCTAGTCTATAGACTAGTCTATAGTCTAGTCTATAGACTAGTCTATAGTCTAGTCTATAGACTAGTCTATAGTCTAGTCTATAGACTAGTCTATAGTCTAGTCTATAGTCTAGTCTATAGTCTAGTCTATAGTCTAGTCTATAGTCTAGTCTATAGTCTAGTCTATAGTCTAGTCTATAGTCTAGTCCATAGTCTAGTCTATAGTCTAGTCTATAGTCTAGTCCATAGTCTAGTCTATAGTCTAGTCTATAGTCTAGTCAATAGTCTAGTCTATAGTCTAGTCTATAGTCTAGTCTATAGTCTAGTCTATAGTCTAGTCTATAGTCTAGTCTATAGTCTAGTCTATAGTCTAGTCTATAGTCTAGTCTATAGTCTAGTCTATAGTCTAGTCTATGGTCTAGTCTATAGTCTAGTCTATAGTCTAGTCTATAGTCTAGTCTATAGTCTAGTCTATAGTCTAGTCTATAGTCTAGTCTATAGTCTAGTCTATAGTCTAGTCTATAGTCTAGTCTATAGTCTAGTCTATAGTCTAGTCTATAGTCTAGTCTATAGTCTAGTCTATAGTCTAGTCTATAGTCTAGTCTATAGTCTAGTCTATAGTCTAGTCTATAGTCTAGTCTATAGTCTAGTCTATAGTCTAGTCTATAGTCTAGTCTATAGTCTAGTCTATTCAAGTCTAGTCTATAGTCTAGTCTATAGTCTAGTCTATAGTCTAGTCTATAGTCTAGTCTATAGTCTAGTCTATAGTCTAGTCTATAGTCTAGTCTATAGTCTAGTCTATTCAAGTCTAGTCTATAGTCTAGTCTATAGTCTAGTCTATAGTCTAGTCTATAGTCTAGTCTATTCAAGTCTAGTCTATAGTCTAGTCTATAGTCTAGTCTATAGTCTAGTCTATAGTCTAGTCTATAGTCTAGTCTATAGTCTAGTCTATAGTCTAGTCTATAGTCTAGTCTATAGTCTAGTCTATAGTCTAGTCTATAGTCTAGTCTATAGTCTAGTCTATAGTCTAGTCTATAGTCTAGTCTATAGTCTAGTCTATAGTCTAGTCTATAGTCTAGTCTATAGTCTAGTCTATAGTCTAGTCTATAGTCTAGTCTATAGTCTAGTCTATAGTCTAGTCTATAGTCTAGTCTATAGTCTAGTCTATAGTCTAGTCTATAGTCTAGTCTATAGTCTAGTCTATAGTCTAGTCTATAGTCTAGTCTATAGTCTAGTCTATAGTCTAGTCTATAGTCTAGTCTATAGTCTAGTCTATAGTCTAGTCTATAGTCTAGTCTATAGTCTAGTCTATAGTCTAGTCTATAGTCTAGTCTATAGTCTAGTCTATAGTCTAGTCTATATCTAGTCTATAGTCTAGTCTATAGTCTAGTCTATAGTCTAGTCTATAGTCTAGTCTATAGTCTAGTCTATAGTCTAGTCTATAGTCTAGTCTATAGTCTAGTCTATAGTCTAGTCTAGTCTAGTCTATAGTCTAGTCTATAGTCTAGTCTATAGTCTAGTCTATAGTCTAGTCTATAGTCTAGTCTATAGTCTAGTCTATAGTCTAGTCTATAGTCTAGTCTATAGTCTAGTCTATAGTCTAGTCTATAGTCTAGTCTATAGTCTAGTCTATAGTCTAGTCTATAGTCTAGCCTATAATCTAGTCTAGTCTAGTCTATAGTCTAGTCTATAGTCTAGTCTATAGTCTAGTCTATAGTCTAGTCTATAGTCTAGTCTATAGTCTAGTCTATAGTCTAGTCTATAGTCTAGTCTATAGTCTAGTCTATAGTCTAGTCTATAGTCTAGTCTATAGTCTAGTCTATAGTCTAGCCTATAATCTAGTCTATAGTCTAGTCTATAGTTTACTCTATAGTCTAGTCTATAGTCTAGTCTATAGTCTAGTCTATAGTCTAGTCTATAGTCTAGTCTATAGTCTAGTCTATAGTCTAGTCTATAGTCTAGTCTATAGTCTAGTCTATAGTCTAGTCTATAGTCTAGTCTATAGTCTATACTATAGTCTAGTCTAGTCTATAGTCTAGTCTATAGTCTAGACTATAGTCTAGTCTAGTCTATAGTCTAGTCTATAGTCTAGACCATAGTCTGGTCTATAGTCTAGTCTATAGCCTAGTCTATAGTCTAGTCTATAGTCTAGTCTATAGTCTAGTCTATAGTCTAGTCTATAGTCTAGTCTATAGTCTAGTCTATAGTCCTAGTCTATAGTCTAGTCTATAGTCTAGTCTATAGTCTAGTCTATAGTCTAGTCTATAGTCTAGTCTATAGTCTAGTCTATAGTCTAGTCTATAGTCTAGTCTATAGTCTAGTCTATAGTCTAGTCTATAGTCTAGTCTATAGTCTAGTCTATACTCTAGTCTATACGTCTAGTCTATAGTCTAGTCATAGTCTAGTCTATAGTCTAGTCTATAGTCTAGTCTAGTCTAGTCTATAGTCTAGTATAGTCTAGTCTATAGTCTAGTCTAGTCTATAGTCTAGTCTAGTCTATAGTCTAGTCTAGTCTAGTCTATAGTCTAGTCTATAGTATAGTCTATAGTCTAGTATATATTATAGTCTATAGTCTAGTCTATAGAATAGTCTATAGTCTAGTCTGTAGGATAATCTGAAGACTAGTCTATAGTCTAGTTTGTACGCTAGTCTATGGTCTAGTCTAAAATCTAGTGTAAAGTCTAGACTATAGTCTAGTCTATAGTCTAGTCTATAGTCTAGTCTATAGTCTAGTCTATAGTCTAGTCTATAGTCTAGTCTATAGTCTAGTCTATAGTCTAGTCTATAGTCTAGTCTATAGTCTAGTCTATAGTCTAGTCTATAGTCTAGTCTATAGTCTAGTCTATTAGTCTAGTCTATAGTCTAGTCTATAGTCTAGTCTATAGTCTAGTCTATAGTCTAGTCTATAGTCTAGTCTATAGTCTAGTCTATAGTCTAGTCTATAGTCTAGTCTATAGTCTAGTCTATAGTCTAGTCTATAGTCTAGTCTATAGTCTAGTCTATAGTCTAGTCTATAGTCTAGTCTATAGTCTAGTCTATAGTCTAGTCTATAGTCTAGTCTATAGTCTAGTCTATAGTCTAGTCTATAGTCTAGTCTATAGTCTAGTCTATAGTCTAGTCTATAGTCTAGTCTATAGTCTAGTCTATAGTCTA